ATCTATAATTAATTTTTTATTATTAAAATAATCTACAAATTACAAATAAAAAATATTCCAAAAACAATGAAAAAACAGAATACAACAACAATAAAACATAAACACATATAAAAAATAATGATAAAGAAGAAAAAGATGAAATTAACTTTACTTCTAATGAAATTACCTAAATTCTTCTAAAATTGAAATAAAATAAAACAGAACAAATCAAGCATACAAATTTAGATTTGCGTTGTAAGGGATTAACATAAAAATAAATATAAAATTTAAACCCGAGGCTAAAATATTTGATGACAAAGTAGACAAGTACTAATTAATAGAATAGGTATAAAACTAGATAAAAAGATAATTAACATAAACTCATAATAATTTGAAATTAACTATGGTTCAATCAAACATTAAAAATCAAACAATTAAGAAAATTAAAAGTCAAATGATTAGTAATTAAAAGTCTAAATCCAAAAACAATTAGTTATTACACTAATAAGAAACTGCAGAACCTCTCAATGAATGAAATCAAAAATCTATTAGTAGGAAAGGTGTTAGAATGGTAGAGTTATATATATCTTAAATTAAGAAAGCAAATAGTAGGTTTAGACGATAATTAAAGGATAATATAAGGACAATTAAGTTTAGATTAATTCACCTTTTTTTACCTAATAATTAACATATGTACTATATTTTTTAATTTATAATTAATTTTTTAAATATTTTAGGGGATAGATCCGCCACCGGCATGCATCATGCTTTATAGTTTATACATGTTGGAGTTGTGTAAAAACGGTAACATTGTGGCAGCAAATTAACAACTAGATTTACGTCAATGTGTTAGGTAGTAAATTAAAGTGCTTATATCATGCGAAAGTTATTATATTATGTATAAGTTATTGCATGTAGGTGAACATGAAATGAGAAAAGCATTGTTTTCTGCAATGGTTGTTTTTTGCAATGGTTGTTTTCTGCAATAAATAGCAGAACATGAACGGAAGAAAGTGTTGGATTTTTTTGGGAAAGGAAGGGACTTGGAGGAGAAGGGAGACACACGGGAGTTCCCACTTTGGTGAGGTGAAAATTCAATTTTCTCATTCATGTTTTGCTATTAAATAACAGAAATATCTCAATACATCAACAGTGATTTTCATACTTATCTAATACAGTTAATGCAAAATTACATTAAAAGACTTGCTGCCACTTGTGCAGCTTCATTTCCTTTCATTTGCTACCGCTTGTGCAGCTTCGTGTGGCTGTACTTGCTGCTACTTTGCAGCCTCATTTGCATTTCATTACAGCCTCATTTCATCAACATTTGCAGCATAGCTTGCTGCACTCTGCTGCTACCGTGCTTTGGTGCAGCTCTCCCTTCATTTCATTTTGCTGCCACCTGTGCAGCTTGCTTTCCATTTGCTGCCACTTGTGCAGCTTTGACACCACAGCTCCGACAGAAAGCTTGAGTTTCACCTCAATCAAAGTGGGAGCACTGAGTGTCTCTCCTTCCCTTCCAAGTCCTCTCTGTACTCATCTTAAAAAAATCCCCAACACTTTAAAGCAGCAGCGCCAAATTGTAAAGGATAAAATTAAGTTACCGAGTTAGACTGCGGTGTGTATCAATGGCCAGGCAAGCTTGTGGCCTCAAGATTCTTGAAGATAACCATGTATCTCCGCCGCCTGGCTCAGTTCCGACCACCACCGTGCCTCTCACCTTCTTTGACATCCTCTGGCTTGGTTCCTTCCCCATGCAACGCCTCTTTTTTTATGAATTCCCTTATCCTACCTTGCATTTCACCCAAACCATTCTTCCTAATCTCAAAACCTCCCTCTCCCACACCCTACAACATTTCTTCCCTTTTGCTGGGAATCTCGTGTTCCCTCCACGTCCTCAACAACCCTATATCCTCTACAAAGAGGGCGACTCTGTTAACTTTGTTGTTGCCGAATCCATGGTCAACTTCAACCATCTTGTAGGCAACCACGCACGAACGATCGGAGAATTTCAACCGTTGCTAGTGACGAAGTTACCGCGGGTTACAGTGACGGATGGATGCAAAGAGCAGCATGCCATGGCAGTTAAAGTCACCGTGTTTCCGAACTCGGGCATCTCCATAGGTGTCACGTTCAGCCACATAGTTGCAGATGGCAGAGCATTAGCGCATTTCATGCAATCATGGGCCTTGATTTACAAGGCGAAAGGGGACCTGATTTCTCTGAACGATTCCCTTCCGATCTACAATAGGAATTTGATCGGAGACCCAGGTAGGCTGGCTACCACATTGATGAAGGATGCCTGGGATTGGGAGGATTTGGGCAGCGTTCCCCAACAGAAACTTAGGATTACCACTGTAATTAGTGGACCCCAAATTGAGATACTGAAGAATTGGGTCCGAAAAAAGAATGCTACAGAGAATCAACCGGAGCAACTAAGAATATCGACATTCATA